AAATTGTGCAGTAATTAAATGAATGGGTGGGTGGAATTGTGAGATTTCTGCAATAGGAGACTTCAACCAATTCCCGCTTCTGTTTCCTTTAGTTGACCATCATTTTCCCCATCACTTTCTGCCTCTGCACCATCTTCCTGGTGGCTGTACCGCTCTACACCGACCCCATCAATTCGGCCATTGGCATAGCCATCGCGGCATCTGGACTTCCGGTTTACTTCCTGGTGGTACGGGTCCCAGATCAGAAGAGACCAAGCTGCTTACAGCGAATGACGGGTGAGTGAATCGGAGTTTTTACTGTAGGGATTTCTGATGTCTCCCTTCAGTGGTAAAATTCCCAAAAGACTATCAGAGGGTGTAGTCTTGAGTAAACATGGGAATAAATAGATTGACAGGCATTTTTTTGGCCCCTTTGCAAATATTCAAAAGAACATCTATCTTCACAGAGGATGGAAGAACACAACACAATCCCACAAATTAAGCAATATCATGCGAAGATCTCAGCATCATGTATATAAATATCGTGGTGACCAATACTAGAGGCAATATTCCACACCTGGTATATTGCATCAGCTTTTGGTTGCCATGATATACAAAAAGATGCTGAGACTCTAGAAAGAGTGTAGAGAAGATGGTTAGGGGAGTGGATTCTAAAACATAGGAAGAACTGTGGCAGGAATTGGGTATGTCTAGTTTAATGAAAAGAAGGACTAGGGGTGACATGATAGTATTCCTCCAATGTTTGAGGGGCTGCCACAAAGAAGAGGGGGGCAACCTATTCTCCAAAGCACCTGAAGGCAGGATGAGAAGCAACGGATAGAAACTAATCAAGGAGAGAAGCAACCTGGAATTAAGGAGAAAGTTCCTAACCGTGAGAATAATTAACCAGTGGGACTGCTTGCCACCAAAAGTTGTGGGTGCTCCATCACTAGTGGTTTTTAAGAAGAGACTGGACAGCCACTTGTCTGAAATGGTATAGAATCTCCTGCTTGAGCAAGGGGTTGGGCTAGAAGACCTCCAAGGCCCCTCCCAACTCTCATTTTGCTATTCTGTTATCTGCCTACTTGGATTTCAGAGGCAGAATGCGGCAGAGTTAATAAAGAGATATTATCTAATTCAAACCAAGAGTCTTCAGCACACTATCCTTGACCACAATCTTATTGGTTGACCTACCAATATCAAGCAAAGAAATACAGAAATTTCCTTCCTCAGGATCACTGCAAAAACAGAGAAACAGCCATTCTCTTCCCCTCTCTCAACAAAAGCACTTATATTTTTTTCTTTGATCAAGACGGTCAATTTTACCATCTTTGCCACCTCCATCAGCTTCTGTAGCTATACATCCATGGTGGGAATAAAATGTCCTTCCATTTTTGTGCATACAGTAGTCTTGTTGCTGTCAACATACCTGTGTTTTTCCCAAAAATAAGACCTAACCAGAAAATAAGCCTTAACCTTTTTTTTTTTTTTGCGTGCTTCTAATACAAGCCTGAGGAATGCAGTGGCTGAGGTGCTGAGCTTGTCGATCAGAAGGTTGGCAATTCAGCAGTTTGAATCCCTAGCGCTGCATAATGGAGTAAGCTCCCAGCTTCTGCCAACCTAGCAGTTCGAAAGCATGTAAAAATGCAAGTAGAAAAATAGGGACCACTTTGGTGGGAGAGTAACAGCGTTCCATGCTCCTTCAGCATTTAGTCATGCCAGTCAGATGACCACAGAGATACCTTTGCACTGTGCTGGCTCTTTGGCTTAGAAACTGAGATGAGCACTGCCCCCCAGAGCTGGAAACAACTAGCATGGATGTGTGGGGGAATCTTTACCTTTTTAATAGAAGCCCTACTCCCAAAGTAAGCCCCAGTTAAGATCACCATCAGCCACTGTGTGTGTGTGTGTGCGCGCGCCTGGCCAGTACCAGAGGTGGTGAGGGCACAGGGCCCGACGATGTCTGGCAGCAGAGGAATGGGGAGGGGAGGCATGTGATCCAGATGTGCTGCGCGGGCCGTGGAAAGCTGAGAATTGATGGGTCAGAGCGGGAAGCAGCTGAGGTGGAGGTGGGGAGGGGAAGGAAGGTGATCCCAACATGCTGCACAGGCCTCAGGCAAGCTGGGAGACAGTGGCATGGAGTAGGGGGCCAGCCACGGGAGGCTGGTCTTTGTGTCTCTTGATTTCCCTGTGACCCGCACATCTGGATTGCCCCCCCCCATGCATCTGCCTCCATCTGCTGCCGATGCCGTCACATGAAGATGAGTCTTCCACAGCTACCCGTCCACTCCGGCCCACTCTCAACTTTTCTGTGGCCCATGTGCCACGTCTGCGCGTGCTTCCCCATCTCAGCTTCCATCTGCTGCTTCCACAGGTAACTAACTCACCTGCACTGTGTGGGCTGTGCAAGTCCCAGAATGTGCTGCCCAAATGGCCAGCAGGCTGTAGTTGCTGCTGGCATCATGCACTCACCGTCTCTTGTGTATGCTCTGGGGCCAGGAGTGTGGCACCCAGCTAGGCTGATTACCCTGATATTATATTTCCCTGAAAATAAGCCCTAATTCTTATTTTGGACCCTCCAATAATATGACTGGGTCTTATTTTCGGGAAACACGGTGTATAAGATCAAAGTTCCATTCCTCCCCCAAGCCTTTTTCCATCAACTCCAAAAGTTTCTTCTTTTATCTTCGCTTTAAGAATTTTCTGTATTAAGGTATGAACCTTGTTCTGAAATGTCTTTATCACACGTCTCCCATAAATTATAAAAGATCCCTTTTTATTTACATTTCCAAGTCTGAATCTCTTTCTCCACTGAATCGTCGCCTCGTTCTCTGCCCGAATGCTGACCGACCTTCTTTTCTTTCCCAGCCCGTGTGACTCAGATTATCCAGTTAGTGTCCCTGTCGGTCCTGACGGAGATGGATCCCGAAATCAAATCTCAGTGATGGAAGAGCTGACCATCCGAAAGAGAGGCTGGCTTATCCTGTCAACCCCTTGCCATGGACCCTTTTCTAATTTATTATTTGAGACTTCGTTGAGAGTACCGTACTTACGACAGGGATATATATAAATTTCTTTTAATTATTTTAAAAAAATGGTCTTTGGAATGCAATGTGTCCATCATTTTTGTCACAACCCTCTGATACGGCTTTGGCTCCTTTTTGCAATTTTATTTTTTTAAAACTGCAATCCATGGTTGTACCATCTAAATATCTCCCTTTCTGAATGTACAGGAAGTCCTCGAACTTACGACAGTTCATTTAGTGACAGAAGGTACAAGAGCACTGAAAGATGTGACTTATGACCATTTTCCCACACTTTTGACCATTGGAGCATCCCCATGGTCACACCATCAAAATTTAGATAGCTTGTTAACTGACTCATTCTTATGATGGTCGCAGCGTCCCAGGATTGTGTGGTCCCCTTATGCGACCTTCTGGCGGGCAAAGTCACAGGGGAAGCAAGATTCACTTAACAACCGTGTTGCCAACTTAACTGCAGAGATTCACTTAACAATGGTGTCAGGAAAGGTCATAAGTGGGGGGAAAAGCTCACTTAACAAAAGTTTCACTTAGCAACAGAAATGTTGGGCTCCACTGTGGTCCTAAGTCAAGGACCGCCTATATGTACGTATGCCCTCCTAGGTTTTTTTTGCCCTTCCTGAATGCATGGGTAATCCTCGAACTTACAACCATTCATTTAGTGACTATTCAAAGCTACAAAACCACTGAAAATTGTGACTTATGACCCATTTCTCATACTTATGACCATTGTGGCATTCCCTTTGGTCACGTGATCAAAATTCAGGTGCTAGAATTCACCTGAGTCATTTTATGACCGTTGCAGTATCCTGGGGTCGCAAAATCAATGAGGAAGCCGGATTCACTTAACAACCATGTTCCTGACTTAACCACTACGGTGATTCCCTTAGCCATTGTTCTGACCCGGGCTTAGCAGAACCAAGAAACAAGACTCCTTGTCTAACTAACCCCTCTTTATTTAATTACTGTGAATTCAGGGCATTCACACACACAAAAGTCCCGTTAAGTGCAAGAACAGACCTTATCAGTCCTTGAATAGTTGCCAGGCCAAGAGAGCTTCCCCTGGAAAAGGAGTCTCCAAAGCCGAAGCAAATCTTCATAATAATAAGCGAACTAATTGTCTCCTGCATCCACCACTCCCCCTTTGCTTCTATTTATTCCCTAGGGAGGGGCCATTCAGCATCCATGTGTGCCTTCCCTTCTGAGTTGGCCCCTGTTCCTTAATTGTTCTCCTCTCCTGACAGCTCTGCGCATACGCACATCTGGAACAGGCTCCAGCTGTTCTTCTTCCCCACTGATTTCCACTCTGAAGGCAGCTGAGAAATGTCACACAGCCCTATCTCTGCTTCTGACACAGAGCATCCATCAGAGCCCTCCCCAGACTCCAGGACTGGCCTCAGTTCCTCCCTAACCTCCTCACTGTCTAAGTCTGGCGGGCCACAACAGCCACCATGGTAAGAGAGGTCCATAAAAGAGGGCCAAAACTCATTTGACGTCACTTAACAACAGAAATGTTGGGCTCAATTGCGGTCGTAAGCTGAGGACTACGGAATGAAAAATGCAGTGTCTAAACAAGAATATCCCTTAGGACGACCTAATGGGGTTGAGCTCCTACATCCAAGGAGCCCAGTAAGTTCTGATCACATCTAGAATTGGTTCTGAACCATTGCAAAGTTTATACCCAGTGCAAGATACTAGCAATTAAAACTTGGTGTAGTACCAATAAAGGAGACTATTTGTAACTCAGGGTTGACCTGAAGGGTCCTTGGTGCTCTGAGCTTGCTTATTTTCTTGTAGATGTTTCATGATCCAAACTAGGTAACATTATCAGTGCTAGTCAAGGACTAGTTGGCTAATGAAATGTCTGCAAAAAAACAAGCTCAGAGATCACCAAGGACCCCACAGCCTTCCTCCTCCTGTTCTTCCCTTCCCTTCCCTTCCCCTCCCCTCCCCAAACCCCACTCCTTTCTAGCACTGATGATGTTACCTAGTTGGGTCATGAAACGTTTGCAAGAAAACAAGTATGCGGAGAGCACCAAGAACCCCATGGTCCTCTTCTCCTCCTCCTCCTCCTGTTCATTCCCCAAACCCCACCCTACTTTCTAGCACTGATGATGACCTTGTTGAGGATCCAAACTCTGTCAACGACCTTGGAGTACTCCTCTCTAATGATCTAAGTGCTAAAGCCCACTGTAACTACATAGCCAAAAAGGCATTAAGAGTTGTTAACCTAATCCTATGTAGCTTCTTTGGTAATATCACACTACTAACTAGAGCATACAAAACATTTGCTAGACCAATAAAACGAATACAGCTCATCAGTCTGGAACCCACATTACGTATCTGATATTAATACAGATGAGAAAGTCCAGAAATATTTCACAAGAAGAGTTCTCCACTCCTCTACTCATTGCAGAATACCTTATGCCATCAGACCTGAAATTTTAAACCTACACAATCTAGAACTTCAGTCCGATCTTAGTATATAAAATCATACATTGCAATGTCCTACCTGTCAATGAATACTTCAGCTTCAACCATAACAACACAAGAGCACACAATAGATACAAACTCAAGGTTAACCGCACCAAACTTAATTGCAGGAAATACGACTTCAGCAACCGAGTAGTCAATGTCTGGAATACTTTACCTGACTGTGTGGTTTCTTCCCCAAACCCCAAAAACTTTAACCTTAGACTGTCTACTATGGATCTCACCCGTTTCCTAAGAGGTCTGTAGGGGGCGTGCATAAGCGCACCAGTGTACCGTCCCTGTTCTATTGTTTCTTTTATTTTTCTTATATGTATCCATAACTATGTTTTTACTTATACCTATTATCTTGCAAGCAATTGACAAAATTAAAAAAAATAAAAAAGTTACCTAGTTGGGTTGTGAAACATATATAAGAAAAACAGTGGTGGGATTCAGACAGTTTGCACCAGTTCAGAAGAACCGGTTAATTTACTGAGCAATTTGGTGAACTGATTGTTGGAAGAAATCATTAGGGCAGAGAACCGGTTGTTAAATTATTTGAATCCCACCACTGAAGAAAACCATCAAGCTCAGACAGCACCAAGGACCCCACAGTTGTTGTCCTCCTCTTCTTCTCCACATCTCACTCCCTTCTAGCACTGATGTTGTTATCTAGTTGGGTCATGAAACGTCTGCAAGAAAACCAGCACACTCAGAGAGCATCAAGGACCCCCTCAGTTGGTGGACTTATTAAATGCACCAAGCTAGAAAGCGAGACCTACTTCAACCTTCGGCCCAAAGCCAGTTTCGAACCAATCTTCTGTTATGACCCAGGCAAGCTTTCGATAAGAGTCCTTTTATCGCTCCGTTAAACTGCACAACTGCCAGGTAAAACTGTACTCCAAACTTTCGTCAAGGCTGCCACACACCGTCCCATAAACGAAAGCCAATAAGCAACGAAACCAAGTCGCAAAGCAGAGAGGGAAGACAAAGAAGCAAGCTCACAAGGCACAGTCCAAGGTCCACAGGGCAAGACAAAGGCACAAGGCAAGCCACGAGTCCCCATGGGGGGAGGAGGGCATGTCAAAGGAAAGCAAATTGTTCCTGACAATCTCCCCTGTTGGCTTCGGCTTAAGTCAACCCAAGCCAAGTGTTCCTTGTGAGGAGGGATGGAGCGGCCTTCTCCGGAGCAGCCTCACAGACTTCCCCGGAGGTTGCCTCCGCTCTACTCTCCCTAACCTCAGATCCGGCGGGGGAAGCGGCCGTTCTCCCTCAGAGGGGATCTGCTGCGTCTCAAAGTCGCTGCCTAAGAACTAAGAAGAAATTTCCTGACAATTAGAACAATTAACCAGTGGAACGACTTGCCTCCAAAAGTTGTGTGTGCTCCAACACTGCAAGTTTAAAAGAAAAAGATTGGACAACTGTTTGTCTGAAATTTTAACCTATCCTATCCTATCCTATTTCTATTCGAATTCCATTCCATTCCAGTCTTCTTTTCCCTTCTAATTTTTCTTTTTTCTTCTATTCACTGTCTTCCCTTCCATCTATTCTATTCTGTTCTATTTTTTTCTATTGTCTTCTTTTTCTATTCTATTGTCCTCTTTTCCCTTCTAATTTTTCTTTCTTTTTTATTCTATTCACTGTCTTCCCTACCATCTATTCTATTCTAAATTCCATTCCATTCACTGTCCTCTTTTCCCTTCCACATTTCTTTTCTTTTTTCTTCTATTCACTGTCTTCCCTTTATTCTATTCTGTTCTATTCTTATTGTCTTCCTTTCCCTTCTGTTCTATTGTTATTGTATTCCTGAGGCCAAGCAGCTCCCGATCCAGTCAACCAACTCCCCCAATGCCGGAGTGGCTTGGGACAGAAACGTCTTCGCCCCTGGCCTCTCCAAAGGTGCCACGGGAGACGTGCCGTCCCCTTTGGATAGTTCCGGTTCCAACTCCTCCTTCAAACCATGGGGCCAAGGCGTCTTTTCTCGGCCCTTACAAGAACGTAGTCAAGAAGGCAATGACAAATTGCTCCCCAAAAATGCTGCAGAAAAAGCTGCAATGATTTCACCGTTAAGATGGTGACTTTCTCAACTCCCTTATGAGCTTTTCAGGCAGTCGGTAGCTGGGGATTACAGCAATACATGGATATACCCTTAGTCCTCAACTTACGGCTTTAATGGAGGCTCACAAATGCAATCGTAAGTCGTTGCCATTGTTAAGCGAGCACTGCCTCGCTCAACGACCGCTTATCCTGCCCCTCTGAGGTGTCTAGATTTTCTAGTAGAGATAGCCCTCAACCAAAACTGAACCCAAAACTTACGTGGCCAAGTGAGACGTTGGTTGAGTTTCGCCCCATTTGACGACTTTTCTTGCCACGTTTGTTAAGTGAGTCACCGCAGTTGTTCGATTAGCAACCCGGTCATGAAGTGAATCGCGCTTCCCCGTTGACTTTGCTCATTAGGCCGCAAAGAGAGGATTGCGTGACACCGGGACCAGTGGTGGGATGCTGCAACCGGTGTTAGTGGTTGGTTTGCTATTCGCGCACTTTGCGTGCGCATGCACACCTTTCCAAATTATTTACCTTTGATGTTGCTTCGGGAGAGAAACACAGCTGAGGCGTGGCAATCCGCTCTGCTACGCAAGTCAGCTGAGCAGGTATAGGTGAGTACAGCGCAGGGGCGGGCAGGCCCACATGATCGTCGGAGCGAACAGATTTGGAGCCGGCTGATCACTGGAGCCAGGGGTTTCGCCTGAACTGGTCTGAACCGGGAGAATCCCACCCCTGCCTGTGACCACCATAAATATGAACCGCTTGTTAAGTGTAAATCACGTGACCCAACGGTCCTAAGTGTGAACTGCAGTCATGTCCCTTTTTCCAGTGCCGTTGTAATTTCGAACGGTCACTAAATGAACTGTCGTACGTCGACTCCTTATACAAGGCAGGGAAAAGAACCAGCACGCCGGATTGGAGAAAGAAAGCTCGTATCCCGGCGATTTCAATTTTCAATTTCATTGTACACATGTTGTGCACTGACAATGAACGTTTGATTTGATTTGAAACGGTCAGTGAACGGGCGGTCGTAAGTCGAGGTACTTCCTTCAGATTCTTAGCTTGCAACAACAGGCAGGAGCAAAACAAAACCAATCCTTTATTAGAGATGAACGGAACGACGAGGGGACGAGGAACTGGAGGAGAACTGGAGCAAAGTCCTGTTGCCTTCAGATTAACGTATCTTCCCAGGGTCGCTTTTTCGGCGGCGGTTTGCTAGCCTCGAGCTGCAGGTCCTTCAAGGGGTTCTCGGCAAAGGTCTGACGCAACGGCCCTGCGAGTGAACAAAAAAATAAGAATTTACAGGATTCAACCTGGGATGGTCATGGGGACCACAGGTTTCGTCTTCCATGCTTTCGGACTCGTGCTGGTGTAGTATTTACGTGGTGCCTGGTTGTGCGTGGCTTTTTAGTTGATGATTGGAGTCTTGGTGGCCAGCTATTAAGTTGTTGGCTGTTGCTTCTAAGGTCTGGGCTCCTAAGGACTTGATAAGATGGAGGCAAATCAACTCTCCAGTTGACTGAAAAGGGGCAAGTCTTCAAGTATTTCCCTGGCTGTTTTTGTCCCTGCTCAGCTAACAATCTTAGTAGCTGCAAAACTGAATGTAGGTAAATTGAACATTCAAAACCTCGGGTCCCGGTGACCGACCCAGATTGGATCCTGCAACATGATGCTGGGATATGTATATTTACCTTCATATGTGAGCTGGGTAGGTAACCTGGTTACATGCAAAAATTGTTAGGATTGAGAATCACAATGGCACTAAAGGAAAACCAACTTTGCAGGAAGTCTCCCTGAAGATGGGCTCAAGCACGAGTCCAAAAGCTCGGAGGGCAAAATCTCTGGTTCCAGTGACCGACCCAGATTGGATCTATGCAATATTATCCTGGGATATGTATATTTGCCTGTATATTTCGTGTGTGTGTGTTTGTGTGTGTGTATGTAGGCCTGGAGATGGAGCTCGCGCCTCACAATCAGGAGGCTGTGAGTTCGATCCTAGGGAGAGGCAGATTTTTCTCTCTCTGGGCACAATGAGGATATATCTGCTAAATAAAACTCTGCACTGGTGACAGGAAGGGCATCCAGTCAGAAAGCACTCAGCTCCGTTCAGTTGCCCAGAGGATGATGTATATTTGCCTTCATTCGTGAAAAATAAGAATTCTGCCCCAAGGCAAGCCATCTGCCTTCCTTCCCTAAATTCAAGCATTAAATACAGGTAGCCCTCGACTTACGACCACAACCGAGCCCAAAGTTTCTGTCACTAAGGGAGAAATTGGTTTAAGTGAGTTTTATCCCATTTTACAACTTTTCTGGCCACACTTGTTTAGTGAATCACTGCGGTTGTTAAGTGAATCTGGTTCCCCCATGGACTTTGCTTGTCGGAAGGTCACAAAAGGGGATCACCTGACCTATGGGACACTGCAACCGTCATAAATGTGAGTCAATTGTCAATCATCCGAATGTAACTTACGTGACCATAAGGAATGCTGCAATGGACACTTCCGGTTGTCGGCTTCGGTGACAGCAGGGATTCGCCTTCTCTGCGATCCCTGCTGTGCTAGCCGCCTTGGTGCCTCCGATCCTGACGGATTTGGAGGCTAAGCCTGCCCTGTTGGGGCAGCTGAAGATAGGGGGGATCCGGATGGGGGTGAGGGGCGTCGCAAACCCTCCCCTCCCCAGCCGGCAATAACCCCCTTCTCTCAAGACAGTGCAGCGGTGGTCTTTTATGGCCACCATAAAGAAGCCGGCAATTGGATAAAGAATGCGCAGGAGGGAGAAGGAGTTTTTTTTTTTTAAAGAAAGTTTTTTCTTGGTCGAACTGGGACCTTAAGGATATATTTAACACCTGGGAAAGTAATGACTTGGAAGCTATAATGTTCCCGATTGATGTTTTCAGCTGCGAAGAAAAGTGACGAAAAGGGGAAGTTACTCTCCCTCCCTTATGGAATTTACAAATGGACAAGGGAAACCAGCCTTTTGATAGAAGGTAAAACCTAAACTCCTTTGTTATAAGTGGGAAGGGAGAGGCTTGGGAAAACAAATTTTTACTCTAAGACTTTGCTGGAGGAGATGCCTTGAAGATAAAGAGAATTGAAATTAATTCTAAGAAAGATTTAAAGCACAGATTGGACGTCTCTGCTTTCCCTAATTTGACTTCACTCCTAGAAGAGAAACTGTAAAAAGAAGAAGCTTGTACTCTGCCTGGACTGTTTGATGACTGTGGGATTTTGGGACTTTTGGGAACTGTTTTAAGCTTGGAAATAACTGATTGGCTTAATAATAATAAGAGGATACAGAAAGAGAAGAAGAAACAGTTCAAAATGGCTCTATCTCTTGATGAATTAAAAAAACAATATCTAAAAATAAAGAAAGAAGGCAAAGATGTTATGGGAGAAGCCCTTTGTTTTCTAGATATGGCGCTTGTCATGTGTCAGCAAATTAAACAACAGCTGGAAGAAGCCGAGGAAGAAGAAGCCATTTTTAATGAACTAAACGGTGTGACTAAGAAAGAAAGGAGAAAGAGAGGAGTGAAAAGGACTGACTTAAGAAATAAAAAAATGTTTATGAAAGAGAAAAATAAGATGCAAAAACAACAGAATGCTAGAAAGCAAAAGGAAAGAGGAATGCAACAGAAAGGGGAAATCAAGAAGGCAGAGGTTTGGAGAGGAGGGGGTAAAAAGTTTAGGCGGGCTAAGAAGGAAAGGGAAAAGGGGGAAAAAAGTTACAAAGGTATAAGACAAGATGGAGAAAAGGAAACTTTTTTCAGGGATAATGGGTAATATATGGGATTTTTTTTTTAAAAAAAGGGGGGATTCTGCAAAGTACACATGAGTATTGTAATAGTGGTATTTGTATTATAAGTAGATAATCAGAACTTTTTAAGATCTAGTAAAAGACTAAAATATCAAGGTATAACTTTAAAAGGTTTAATAATGAATGATAATAAGTTTTAATAAAATACTAAAGGGAATGTTTAAAGTATTAGTTTGAATATAGAGTTTAATGGATTAATGTGTTGATTGTTATGGATTTATTATTGTAGTATTGGTTTTTGAAATAGTAGAATGTACTAAGCAGAATTTGATTGGGATTTAGGTGTTATTTTAAATTTTAACTTAGGGGAATGATAGAAAGGCATCATACTCCGATTAGTGATTCCAGGGGAAACTATTCTTTCTTAAATTGGAAATGAGACAGATGTAAATGGAGAAATGGACAAAAGATATAAAAATATTTTTTTTAAATGCAAGATTAAATATATAAAACAGAATTAAGATGAGGCAAAAGTGGAGAGGAGTTATATAATAGATATAGAATGGTAAATAAGATGGGTAATGGTATATAAGAAGAGCGTGAATTCAATTGAGTCCATACAAAAAGAGGTAATCTGGGGCCAAGTTACTTTCTAAAGAAAGTTTTATGTTTTTATGTCTATGTTTTATGTGTGTGTGTTTAATTAAGAATTAAATAATAAAATCTCGGAGGAAGACTAGATGAGAATAATTATAAACAAGCCAGAGGAAAATATAAAGTTGATGACTGGATAGCAGATAAATCAGAAAGGAAATATGATTGAATAATGATTAAAGAGAAACAATGTGGAATTTGGTAAAGGGAATTTACGTGTTTATATGGAAATGGGATAAATTATAAGTACGTGATATAAAGCAATATGTTACCTGCCTTGTAAGGAACTACAATGGAAAGAGGTTTTATGTTTTTAATGTTTAATGATGTTTTGTTTTGTTTGTTTGTTTGTAAAATCAATAAAACTTGTTTAAAAAAAAAAAAGGAATGCTGCAATGGTTGTAAGTGTGAAAAATGGTCGTAAGTCACTTTTTTCAGTGCCGTTGTAACTAATGGAATTGTTGTAAGTTGAGGACTACCTGTACGAATAGTCTTAGACTTACAACCATAACCGAGGCCAAAATTTATGTCGCTAAGTGAGACATTTGTTAAGTGTCCCATTTTTCTTGCCAGAGTTGTTAAGGGAATCACTGCCCTTGATAAGTTAGTAACCTCGTTGTTAAGTGAATCCGTCTTCCGCATTGACTTTGCTTGATAAACATGACCCTGGGACACAGCAATGGTCGTAAATATGAACCAGTTGGCAAACACCTGAATTTTGAGGGCATGATCCTCATGGGGATGCTGCAAAGGTTGTCCCTGCGAAAAACAGCCTTGAGTCCATTTTTCAGTGCCGCTGTAACTTTGAAATGGTCACTAAATGAACTGTTGTTAAGTCGAGGACTACCTATACATGCGGGTTGCCAAGCACCCTGAATTTTGCTCACGTGACAACAGTAGAGATGATGCTGAGATGTCCATATGTGGGAGCCCCGTTGGCAAGTCACTTCCCCACCCCCCGAGTGCCATGGTTAACTTTGCGCAGCCGCTAATCCGACGGTCGTAAAACCGAGGACCGCCCATCCAAGCGACTTACCCGACGCTGCTAATGTCAGGTGGTTTTTGATACGGTCCTCTCGTTCTTGTAGTCGTCTTTTGGACTGGAAGGTCTCCCAGCCTAGAAAAGAGCGGAGAAGAACAGGTTGAGGTAATATATCATGCAGTGAGAAGGTATGTTCTGCCTACCCACTAGGTCTGTTCATATGAACATTTTCCATAGTGAAAGTGATAAACCCGGTAACTGTTCAGCTTAGACTCCCACGCCTGTTAGGGAAAGCGCATCCAGTATTTCATAGCCGTCAGTTAAAGCTGGCCGCAAGCTCTCAGCTAAGACCAGTAGACCGGGCAGCCCTGAAACCCATCGCAGTATAAGGGGAGACCAACTATGAGGTGAAAAAGATTTTAGACTCGCGCCTGAATAGGGGTTGTCTGGTTGTCTGGACATAGGTTAATCTCCATTTGATTTTTTCTTGCAGGAGGTCCTTCTTAACTGAGGGGGGCAGCCTGTCAGCCCTGAAGCCATTTTGGGAGCATCTTCAGGGCTGCCACAGCAAGGCTGGTTGGAGCTGTGAGAACAGGAGGGTGAGGGAGGTAGAGATAGCTGGGGATATGTAGCCAAAATAACATTCTTTCCTGTGGGAGCCAAGGCTGCTCTACCAGGTGTTGGGAGAAGTGTGGACCGTAGCCAGCCGGAATTGGGGCTGTGACCCGATTGGACTATGTGACGGAAACTTTGAGGTTTTGATTTGGGTGGGGAAAACCTTGAGTCCTTCAGAGCTGGGTTTTCTCCAGATGTGCCAATATGACATGCCAAATAAATCTATACTTCGATGAGGAATATGCCTGCCTTGGGAGTTTCGATTCCGTCAGGTGTGTTAACTGGAACCCTGTCCTTTTTTCTGCTCGTTTCTAGTTTCCATGTGCGATTTAATATATGAAAGTCAGCTCCCCATCTTTGCCATGTGCTGAAGAAGAAAAATGGGGAAACGAAACTGTTGCCAGGGAGGGAAAGGAAAAAAAAAAAGACATTGCAAAGAAAACCAAGAAAACCTCCGTTTGGCTTGAGGAACAGTGACTTTCTAACTGTCCTCTTTCTTGGGCCACTGGGTTAGACAGAAGCTGGGGAAAACCCCTAAAATAAGCCAGGAATAAACGGCGGCATCAAGGGCTAGATATGAGTGGTACAGTGGCCTAGAGGTGGAGCTCTCGCCTCACAATCAGGCGGCTGTGAGTTCGATCCTAGGTAGTGGCGGATATTTCTCTCTCTGGGCACAATGGGAATATATCTGCTGAATAAAACTCCACATTGGCGACAGGAAGGGCACCTGGTAATAAACGCTCAGCTCCATTCAGTTGCCCAGACTCTACCCTGCAACGGATTATGGGGTAATTAAAAGACAATGATGATGATCAAGGATTAGACAAGTTCACCTTAACAGATTAACAGTGTTGGAAGGGACCTGGTAGGTCATCTAGTCCAACTGCCCCGCCCAGGAGACCTTACACCATTTCTGACAGATGGCAGTCTCTTCTTGAAAGCCTCCAAGGATGAAGCTCCCACAACTTCCGAAGGCAACTTCTGTTCTATCAGTTGATGGTTCTCACTGTCAAAAAATGTCTCCTTATTTCTAGGTTGAATCTCTCAGTGTTCAATTTCCATCCATTATTCCTTGTCTGGCCTTCGGGTGCTTTGGAAAATAGCTTGACCCCTTCCTCTCTGTGGCAGCCCCTCAAATATTGGAAGACTGCTATCCTGTCTCCCCTGGCCCTTCTCTTCACTAGACTAGCCAAGCCCAGTTCCTGTAAACGTTCTTCATAGGTTTTAGTCTCCAGTCCCCTCATCATCCTGGTTGCTCTTCTATGCACTCTTTCTAAAAGAGTTTCAACATCTTTTTTATAATGTGATGAACAAAACTGGATGCAGTACTCTGGGTGTGGTCTTACTAAGGCTTTATAGAGTGGTATTAGTACTTCCCTTGATCTGGATTGTATCCCTCTGTTAATGCAATTTAGGATCGCATTAGCTTTTTGGCTGCTGCTGCTGCACACTGCTGGCTCATATTTAGCTGGTTGTCCACTAAGACTCCAAGATCCCTCTCACAGCTACTGCTACTGAGCCTGGTTTCACCCAGTCTATATGTGTACTTTGGGTTTTTCTTGCCCAAGTGTAGGACTTTACTTTTCTCTACATTGAATTTCATTTTGTTAGATAGGGCCCAGTGTTCTAGTCTGTCAAGATCCATTTGAAATACTCCCCTCATAGTGAAAAGAAAACCAAATTAATGGAAACAAATCATAGTTTTGGGCCGGACTTTAAAGAAGGACATAACCTATCCCAGCCTTCAAGCCCCCTTTTTTCATTCTCTCTCACCATCTTTCAAATTGTCAATCATTCCCTTCTGGGTTTCTCCCTCCGCAGGCTTGTGAACTTGCTGTTTCGGGATGCGGAAAAATGTGCGAACAGATGGCAGGCGTAACAACAACACCTGGCCCAGCGAGTACAGGTTGGAGGTCAGCCAGTAGGTGAAGATGGCCTGCAGGAAAGGCAAAAACAAAAACAAACCCCAGACCCGACAGTAAACAACTTGATGATGTTACCTAGCTGGGTCAAGAAAGGTCTGCAAGTAAACAATGAAGCTCGGAGCATTCCACAGTCCTTCTCATCTTCCTTTCCTCTCTCCTTTCACCCTTCTTTCTCTTTTTTCCCCTTCTTCTTCTCTACTGCACGAATGCTACACTTTCCTAGCACTGATGATGTACCCTAGTTGGGTCGTGAAATGTTTGCAAGAAAATAACCAAGCTCAGAAGAGCCCCCAGTCCTCCTTCTCTTCTCCCCGCTGCCCTTCTTCTCCTCAGCTGTACAAACTAACATTCCTGATGATGTCACCTAATTTGTTACCTAGCACTGAGGATGTTACCTAGTTGTGTAATGAAATGTCTGCAAGAAAACAACCAAGCTCAGAGAGCATCCAGGACCCCACAGTTCTCCTCCTTCCCTCCCATTCCTCCCTCTAGGACTAATGATGCTCTCTAGTTGGGTCATGAAACATCTGCAAGAAAATTAGCAAGTTCAGAGAGCATCAAGGGCCCCTCAGTCCTCCTCCTCCTCTTCTCCCTTCTAGCATTGATGATGTTCCCTAGTTGGGTCATGAAAGGTCTGCAAGAAAACAACCAAGCTCAGATAATTCCCCAGTCCTCCTTCTTCTCCCCCTCCACTCCACAAACTAATGTTCCTGATTATGTCACCGGTCAGTGTATAAGGATTCATGAACTGAAATAGGCATGGCAACAAAGGGGACTGTTTGGTGACTGAAACACAGGATTTATTGTGTGAGCCATGCAAGGCAGCTTAGAACCTGGGCATGGCTTAGCTTAACTGCTCTGTGTATAAAAGAGTTCATTTTGTCTTTGCTTGAGAGTTCTAGTGCTTGTTCTTGTACTTGCTACTTCTTCTCTCTACCATGTTGCAAGAGCTGCATGGGTATTGTATACATGCATCATGTTTATAAAGAAGTTTCTTCTATATAATGAATCCTGCAGAATTATTTGTTTGTGTGCTGGTTGGATCGCTACAAACTCCCACATTACCTAGCACTCAGGATGTTACCTAGTTGGGTAATGAAACATCTGCAAGAAAACAACCAAGCTCAGAGAGCACCAAGGAGCCCACAGTCTTCCTCCTCTTCTCTGCAAATCCCACTCCCTTCTACCGGTAACCCTGATGATGTCCCCTAGCTGGATCATAAAACATCTGGAGGAATACAGCCAAACTCAAGAGAGCCCCAGGGACCACACAGTCTTCCTCATGTCTGCAAACCCCCCATACTTCTAGCACTGATTACATTACCAAGTTTGGTAATGAAACGTCTGCAAGAAAAAAAAAAACAAGCTTAGAAAACTGCAAGGGCCCCATATTTCTCCTACTTCTCGTCCTTGCAAACTCCACACACTTCTAGCACTGATTATGTTACATAGTTGGGTTATGAAATGTCTGCAAGAAGACAGCCAAACTCAGAGAGTCCCAAGGACCCCACAGTTCTCCTCCTCCTCGTCTCGTCTCGGCATGTTGTACTACATATTGATGAATGATTCTTTCTCACCGTGGGGAAGTTGATTGTGATTGGCAACAGCAGGATAGGCATCACTCGGAAAATTGTTTTCATCATGTGGTAACTTGGATTTGAGACTCCTGTTTCTGCCCCAAGCTGCGGAGGACAGAGATGATGTCACTACATGAGAAGTTTTGACATTCTATCAAGCAGGTTTCCCAATTTTGGCACCTTTAAGACCTGTGGACTTCAACTCCCAGAATTCATGCTGGCTGGGGGATTCTGGAAGTTGAAGTCCACAGGTCATCAAGCTTGGGGAACCCTGTTCTACAAATTCCCCTTTTCACATCTGTTTCATCCCCCCTTCGAATTCTCCTTAAGGGGATCATTTTGAAATCTGGGCTGGCCCTAACAGAAAAAAAATAATTAATATTTTGGGAGGTTCCAGCCAATTTTGATCTTGGATCCAGGCATTGCAGCGAAGGGATTTGTGGTAAGTCTTAAGCAATGGTTAAAATCAAGAGACTGCCTTGAATTCCCCCTCACTTTTTTTTTTTTAATATTTTATTCCACTTTTGTTATTTTTCTAAATAAGGTAGTGAACATCATTCCTAAAACTCCTCCTTCCTCCTCTTTTCTCCACACAAACAACCCTGTGAGGTGGGTTGAGCCGAGAGGGAGGCAGGGGCCCAAAGTCACCCAATCAGCTTTCATGACTAAGGCAGGACTAGAACTCACGGCCTTGTGCTGATTGGTCCAAAGACACCCAGCCAACTTTCATGCCTAAGGTGAGACTAGAACTCCTAGTCACCTAGCAATTGTCCCAAAGTCACCCAGTCAGTTTTCATGCTTAAGGCTGGACTAGAACTTGTCGCCTGGCGATTGGTCCAAAGTCATCCAGTCAGTTTTCCTGCAAAAGGCTGGACCAGAACAACTCCTCGCTTGACCCAAAGTCACCCAGCCAGCTTTCATGCTTACGATGGAACTAGAATTCCCAGCATCCCGGTTTCTGGCTTAGCACCATAACCAAGTCTTACCTCCAGAACAGCCAACATGCTAGCAGTTGTTAGCAGGGGTAGAGCGTAGTAAGGATCCGAGGTTGTAAGATCCGTGAACCACAATATTCCCCCTGTCTGCATGCTGGGTACAGGACATTCCGCCATTTTACGTAGGGCGAAGAAGAAGGAGATGAAGATAGGCATCTGAGACCGAAGAGGGAAGAAGAGGTCAAGCCGATAAGCCGTGTAGCTAATACAAATTGCAATCAATTTGTTAACGGTCAGGTGGGTGCTTTGTGGAAACTGACCTGGACCAAGGGTGCGAGGAATCCTACTTTAGGATTAAGATTATGGGCTTTCTGGTACTGGTTCAATTCCGTGTAAGCCTTCAGAACTGGGAGATTAACAGAGAAATACTTTCAGGATGAGCAATATTTAGTAAACATCCCTAATTTTATCTTTCTTTCTTTTTCTTTCTTCCTTTCTCTCCTTCCTTCCTTTTCCTTTCCTCCTTCCACCCTTTCCTTCTTTTCTTCCTTCCTTTTTTCTTTCCTCCTCCCTTCTTCTCTTCTTCCTTTTTTCTCTTCCTTCTCCCTCCCTCTTTTTCTCCTTCTTTCCTTCCTTCCCTTTCTTTCCTTCTTCCTCCCCCTTCCCCTTCCTTCCTTTTTGTTTTTTTCCCCTTCTCTTTCCTTCTTCCTCTCCCTCCTTCTCTCTCCCCTTTTCCTTCCTTCCCCCACTCTCCTTCCTCTCTTCCTTCCTTCCACCTTCCCTCCCCACTTTCATCAATTCCTTCCAGGCAATCCAGACATCTCTTGCACTCTCAACTTACATTCTTTCTGATTCCCTGACTTCCTGGCGTTGCTGATTCTGGAATTCATCTCGCTCATTTGGGGATAATGGTTATTGAGGTTCACTGCCTGTTGCTGGCATTTTACAATGATGGGAAAAACCAAACAGCGAGCCAGAAGGGTTCCTAAAAAAATTGAGATGGGGAGAAGACTTCGGTTACTTCCAGGATAACTGGCAGGCTGAAATTGGTAATGAAATATGTAGATTTTTATAATATAATGAATATATAAAGGTGTACTATTTTTATTATATCTACAAAATGATTATAGACCTGAAATGATAATATGAACTGCTATAAAACAAATTAAGTAAAATATGGATTACCTTGTAAAACATGAATGAATAGTATAGCCAAATGATTAACAATGATATTAATGTATTTAGGAATATTTGATTGACAATACGAGAACATAAACAATGTAATTGTAAGTGAAGACTGAAGTGGAAGCACAAAAACATTTGTAAACCAACCGACACACTGTATGTGTGTGTGTATGTGTGTGTGTGTATGTATGTATGTATGTATATATATATATATATATATATGGAAGATGGCTTGATGTTTTTATGTTGTGTTTGTCTATGCTTGTCTTAAAAAACAATAAAACTTTAAAAAAAATACAATTCCTGACCGAGCTCATCAAAATTTCCCTGGCTTGTGCCTTCTTGAATATTTATTTATTATTTATCAAGCAAATGTTTACAGCTGCCAAACGCACACGGAGGAGACTCTGCCAGGTTTACAAAAATGGAGGGGGGGGGGGGAATCCCAACGTATAATAAATCTCATTTAAAACAAAAAACCCACTCCATCCCCATGACAGTTAACACCACAACCAGATCAGCCACAATCAAATCTGTCTCCAATTTGAGATTCCTGAGCCTGTCAAACTCCCTGTTTTTAGGGAGTTTTGGACAAGTGTTTATGGAGATTCTCACTCATCTAGGAGTCATGGTTGTCCCAAAAGTGCTTTTTTTTTTTTCTTTTCCAAAGAGGCAACTAGACTTCCTGGTTTTTCTTTTGAAGACGTTTTGCTTCTCATCCAAGAAGCTTCTTCGGCTCTGGCTGGATGGTGGAGAATGGAAGGTTTTATCCGCCCTGCAGACAGCTGGTCACTTGCATCCTTTTAAGAGAGTCATTGAGGTCACTTGGAGGTTCATAAATCCTTCCATTCCCCGCCATCCCATCAGAGCTGAAGAAGCTTCTTGGATGAGAAGTGAAATGTCTTCGAAGAAAAACCAGAAAGTCCAGTTGCCTCTTGAAAAAAAAGCACCTTTGGGACTTTTGGACAAGCAAAACGGAGTGAGGGCCCGACGTACCCCTTTCTCTGCAAGAAAGAGCCACCACCGAGAAGGCCCTTTTTTGTGGCCTCACGACATGACAATCCTCGATCTAGGGCATGTGTATAATATGCTAATCTGGTGGGTGAATATAATAGGGGAGAAAAGGTTCTCCAAGTAACTTGGCCACAAGCCCCGTAGGATTTTAAAGTTGATAACCAACACCTTGAATTAGACCTGGACAACCAGTTAAATATGAGCCAGGAGGTGATAACAGAGACCTGAATCGATCCGGAGCTCTGTTAGTGGCTGCAGGCTCCTTCAGGAAGGTCTTGCTGGCCTTGCCGGATGCAAAAAAAGTTCCTGAAGGCCTCTGAGGGCGAAAAGGAGACCAGGAGCAACGAGTCAGTGGATGACTCTCCCGAAAATACGACCTGGTGCCTTTTATTGGTGGGGAAAAATATCTTTATTTTTCTATCAAGGTAAAATTGCCTTTCTGTTCTGATCTGCTTAACAATCTTGGCGGTGCTCTTTACCTCCTACAATGGCTCCCCACCAAGGCAGCCCCATATCCAAGTGCAAAGACTCCAAGATCTTCATGATTAGACCCACTGGACTGAAGCTTCCCAGACCCAGTTCAGCCAAAGTCGATTCTTCTGCTATTTGGCTAATTTCCTCCAAAGGGAGGATTGTCTCTACTGGTGCATTTGCTGCGTCTTGAACAACCTGAAAGAGGCAAAAGAGGATGTAGACGAGGGGTGTCAAACACAAGGCCCATGGGGCCATCCTGGAAAATGTAAGGGCCCGGTCTACCCAAAGTGAAGAGGAAATATTAGGCTGGCTTTGGCCCGGTCTACCCAATACAAAGAAGAAACATGACAGCGGTTTGGGGAGAGGGGACAAGCTGGCCACGCCCCTCAGTCAGCCACACCCACCCAGTCGGTCATGCCCCCCTCGCCCCCGAGGTCAACCACAGCCTTGATGTGGCCCTCAATGACATTGAGTTTGACACCCGATATACGGTTTTCCTGAAAATAAGACCTATCCTGAAAATAAGACTAACACGGGCTTTTTTAAACACATATGTCTAATATATGCCCTACCCCCAAAATAAGCCCTACTAACCTCCTGCCTATTCGGTCTGGTTGTTTGAGGTACTGCAACAAGGTGAGGCAGGGTGAAGTTGGAGCATGCACCCCCACCGACTTACCTCAGGGCCCCCGCAGCCAGGCCATCCACACCCCGACAGCTGCCTCATGTGCAACTAGCCCGCTTCTTCTTGCTTGCGGCTGCAATGGAGCAGGAGACCGAGCAGTATGTTGGGGCTGTGGCCATGAGGCAAGGCAGGTTTGGGGGAATGGATGGCCTGAATGCAGGGCCCTGAGGTAAGCTGGTGAGGGGCGCATGGGGCAGTTCCACCCACCCCTGCCTCGCCTCATGGCTGCGGCATTGGCATATTGCTCGGCCTCCTCCATTGTGGCCGCAAGCAAGAAGTGGGTCAGTGGCCAGCGGGGCCCTGCTGGACGGGGCTGCTGGAGCCGCCACCACGAGGCGAGTGTTATGATGTGGGTGGCTTGGATGAGGGGCCCAGTGTGGGGCACGTGAGGCAGCTCTATCCCGTCACCTTGCGGTGGCGGCACTGGTGTACTGTGTGGCCTCCTGCCCCACTGCGAGCAAGCAAAAGTGGGCCTCCCGTACATGGAAAAAAAATAAGACCCCCCTGTTAGGTATAACATTGGTCACCTAACTAGTTTGGGTAAGATAATATATATATAAGCTATGATTCTTAGTTTAAAGTGTGTGTTACTTTAAATGCAAAGCATGTAATTTTGGGTGTGGTGTGAAAAACACCATAAGAGGGAGCAAGAGACGCTGATGAGACGCTGACGATTCCCTGACGCTTTGCTGGCAATTACTGGAGTTGCAGACGGAAGAGAGGAGTTTCTGAGTTTGTTGCATATCTCTCTCTACTGCGAGGAGATAAATTACCGGACTGTTATTTTGTAAGTGTACCGACCTCTCATTTTTGACATTGGAATTTTGCAAATGAATAATCCCTGGACGGACTGAACTAAGTGTATGATATATGGACTGTTTTGACTATGCTTTAACTCTTGCTGGAATAAAACTACTTTAATTAGCACTTGTATCTGCTTTTACTGAGTGTAAGCTACACAACACTTATCTCACATATTTTGCCTGCCTGCCTGACTGCCCTGCAGATTCTTGCTAGGGGTATATCCCTAACACCCCGCCCCCCAAACCTAAGTCCTAGTGCTTATTTTGGGACCCCAAAGAAAATAAGACTCGGTCTTATATTTGGAGAAACACGGGTAGATGTTTGGGAGATCCCAGACTCACAAGTCTCTTTGATCTGTCATTGGTTCCAATGTTATAGGTGTGTTACCTGTGTCCCTGCGACCGCCGCAGTGCTCTGATGTCGGATTGTGGGTCTGAAAAGCACAACGTAACAGTTCTGAGAATGCTGAGGAGAAGCTAGCCGGGTTTTGACCTGGGACCATCCCAGAGGGGTGGATGCCCTGTGAACCTGGAAAGGAATAGCAAATAATAGCCCTTAAGGACTGCTACAGGTGGTCCTCAGCTTACGGCCACAACAAAGCCCAAAATTTCTGTCGCTAAGTAAAGCCAATTTTACCAACTTTACAAAATTTTAAAGTGTAACAGAAAACGGGGGTGGGGAAAGAAAAAAAAAGGGGGGGGGAAATATGGTGGAAAGAGGGAAAAGGAAAGAAAAAGCCATCTATCTCCAACCCTCTTTAGCCCAGAGGAAGGTAACATCGCAACTTCAAACTTTTAAACAGCCATTTCTATAGCAACAAACCTACCTAATCAGCAAAAGCAACTGCAGTTGTTCAGTGGATCACTTCTGTTGTTAATCTAGTATCACGGCTGTTAAGTGAATCTGGCTTTCCAACTGAGTTGGCTTGTCAGAAATCCGAAAGGTGCTTTTTTTTTTTTTAGGAGGCAACTGGACTTTCTTCAGAGAGAAAGCAAGGAAGTCCAGTTGCCCCTGAAAAAAAGCATCTTTGGGGACAACCATGACCTGGATGATTGAGAATCTCTACAGACTTTTAGCTTGTCAGCAGGGGATCGAGGGTCTTGAGCAGGAGTTTACCAAGCAGCCTATAGCCCTCCTCCTCTTGCTGTTGACAACTCCCCCTTCTTTCTAGCACTGATGGTGTTACCTAGTGTGGTAATGCAACCTATGCGAGGTGAGAGAGCACTAAGATCCCACACCCCTCGTCCTCCTCCCTGCAAACCCCACTCCCTTCTAGCACTGATGTTACCAAGTCTGGTAACAAAACTTCTGCAAGAAATCAATTGTGCTCAGAGAGCAACAAGAAGCACACATTCATCCTCTTCCTTCTCGCCACATACCTCACTCCCTTCTACCACTTATGATGTTCCCTAGTTGGGTCATGAAACGCCTGCAAGGAAACAACCAATCTCAGAAAACACCAAGGACCCCAAAGTTCCCCTCCTCCTCCTCTTCTCTGCAAACTTCCCTTCCTTCTAGCACTGATGATGTGACCTCGTCAGAATCATCAGCTGGAAGGGACCTTGGAGGTCTTCTAGTCCAGCCCCCTGCTCAAGCAGGAGATCTGACCTATACTATTTGTAAAACAGCTGCAAGGAAACAGCCCAGCTCAGGGGGCAGCAAGGACCCCACAGTCCTCCTCCTCCTCTTTGCAAACACCATTCCCTTCCAGCACTGACAA